ATTAGATTTTAGTTAATTGAATTTTATAACAAACGCTAAATAAAAGATATGCTACGAAAATCGAAATATCTCCTGGACTAATTATTTTGAATATCTTATCTTAACGCTTCGTCAAACCAAAAAGCGTCAAATCAAAAAGAACTTGAACATCTTTGTGCTCAGTTAATAATAATAACGTAAAAGATATGGCTACCGCAGAAGTATCATGACCTACCCTATAATCACACTATAAGCAATGTTATGTCTAAAGAACATTTCTTAAACAATAATCCACGGATAAAAGAAATATTGATTATTTTTATTAAACCAACAAGTCCCGAAGACATGAAAAACAAAGTTATAAATGTATTTTAACGTATCACCTCAGAAATGCTAATAGCCGTTCAAAATAAGATTTGTGTTTAAAAATGTATTGATGTCCGAGGCAAACACAAATACAAATGAAGTGTATTTGAACATTTATCATAAAATAAATATATTCAATTACTTTATGTTATGTCTACGATAATCTCTCAAGTAGTATTCATATTAGATTTTAGTTAATTGAATTTCATAACAAACGCTAAATAAAAGATATGCTACGAAAAATCGAAATATCTCCTGGACTAATTATTTTTGAATATCTTATCTTAACAGCGACGAACGTCTCAGACCGTTGGACACTGCACGTTAAGTTTTGGAAAAATTAAGAACCTAAAAGTAATGCGCCTGGCAACATCAGCATTATGTTTAATCATGTCAAGCCGAACCGCGTGTAACATGTTTGCACTTGAATATTGTGTAGACTGCATCAATCATTCGTTGAACAACGTCACCGGTATGGTTGATGTCAAGTTCGCACACTTTTCAGAAATCGCGAGGAATGCGAAGGACCCCGATCACGTGGCAATTCGCAAAAGCGATTTATTCGATAAGAATAATATAATTGATTGTGAACTGGTGATTCAGGTCTTTGCGGAGTTATAACAATTGTGTATTACATATTAATAAATATTATTTCAACTGTAATTAAAATTTCTTTTTTATTTTTCCGTTTCATCTTATCCACTATACTGACTTATTCTACAACGCGCGCATCAAGTTACCGCTGGAGCAGTCGCTCTATATTGTTTATACACTAGTGTTAATATTTATGTATAGTTTATATATTATTTAATAAATAACACCATTGCAGTACATGTATATAATTGTTTATTGTACAATAAATATATTTTATTACAATACATCGTCTTTATTTATCCAAGAATTATGCGAATTGTCGAATCCCAACCATTTTACAAACACCTTATCGTCCTTTCGGCGCAACACTTTCTCTACGAGATAAACGTCGGGTTGAGCGGTCTTGAGCAATTCGTACTCGTAAAAGCCTCCCACGACCGGATCTCCGCGATAATCTTTAATCAGATACGTCACAGGATTGGTACGTTGCACCGTGGCGATTTTAAACACCTCCGTCGACCAATTTGGCGTGTATCCTTTCTCGAATATAGTTTTGAATTTGCTCACGCGCACCGGATCACCCACCCTGAATTTCGCCGGCGCGGCAATTTTTATATTACTGTGTAACGTCCAGTACCCCACCCCATCCCTTTATTTTTCTAATTCAAATATTAATATGTAACAGCGTATAGAATATAGTAATCTTGTTAGTTTAAGTGGTAACATGTAACAGCGTATAGAACATAGCATAGCAATACGGGTCCATCGATGTAACACTTTTTGCCTTTATAAACCTTTTCCCTCTACGTAATACTTTTTGCTCGTAAAACCCTTCCACACTTTTTGCCTCTATAAACCTTTTCCCTCTACGTAATACTTTTTGCTCGTAAAACCCTTCCACACTTTTTGCCTCTATAAACCCTTTTCCACCTACGCAAACCTTTCCCTTCCACAAACTCTTCCCACCTACACAACTTTTCGAGCCGCCGCACCGCAGTTAAGCGAGAGCGCTCGCCAGAACGGGCAGTTCTAACTCCGATCTCGACGCGCACACAACCCCTAAACTCGCACTAGATCTACTAACCCTAACGTAAATCTACTAATTCTAACATAAGTGAAGTTGTAACCTTATCAAATAATATTTGATTTGTTTATTATAACGTAACTCTACTATTCGTAATATAAGTGAAGTCGTAACTTTATTGAATATAATTTGATTTATTGGTTAAAAGTGCAAATCTTCATTCAACAACCCCACGATACTTCCTCATCCTTAGCTGAAAGTGAGCACGTGCCTAGAGAATCTGTGGTGCGGACCGCCGCACACGTTTCTTCAAAAGCCCACATCTGTGGTACGTGGTGCGGCCCACCGCACGCTTATCGCAGATCACAACAATTGGCACCTTTCTTTCTAATATCACGATCTCATGCCGAAACCTAAAACACGTCGGGGAGGAGTTAAATACCACGCTCGCAAGTTACTCGCGGAATATCGATTCGCGGCCGCGGATACCAGTTACACCGACCACCTCGGGGTCGAGAGTCACGAAGACTTAGAATACGAGTTGTTGTTCACATCACACAATCCCAGCACCTGCGAATTCGAGAGACGGGAGGGATACAATCCATCAAAGCATTGGCCGTACACGCTGGTCCCATTAACATTGAAGCCATTACCGAGGATCAACGGAATCAACCCTGTCGATCCGCGTTGGGCCGTCTACTCCAGTCAAGTACGAAGTACGAGCCATCATTAAGAACATCTACATCCGGCATCGGTGAGTGCTTAAATAAGGTTTGCTAATTGAATCGCAAGTAACCCGAAGCGCAAATATAAGTCCGGAAATCTATCTCTAAGAGATCCGTCGTAAAAGTAAAGTCGATCCTCGGGCCTTCGAGTCTCTAGAAGGGCAATAAACTGCACGTGCAAGGGTAGGGGTCATAAACTGCACGCCAACCAAGAACCCATCGAAATACTTTCGCTTAATACTTTCGAAAAAAACCGTTGACGTTGAATCCGCTACCTAAGGTCACCGGAATTAACCCTGCAGACCCGAGGTGGGCTACCTACTCCAGTCGACCATAAGGAACGAGCAATAGATAAGAACAACTATACCTAGCTCCGGTGAGTACTACATAAGTAAAATTGTTATTACAAGTTCTAGAATCTAACGTTAAGGGAACCCGTCGAAGACGACGTCACAAATTGATCTTAAGGCGCCTCACGCCGCCTCTATATGGAACACCACCCCGTCGCGTGATGTACTTTAGATTTTCTGCACGTGAACGATAATAATAACGGACATACTCTCGACGCGCTCTGTAGAAGTTGTGTGATCTACGATCCTCTGATTTCAATCGAGTCACGGTGCCTTCTAAGGCGGCACAGCCTGGTAATCCATCCGCACCCCGAAGTGCAACGCTGTTGCATTTGCCGTCAAGAGTTGACCATAGTTCGCGCTTTTAATAACTGCTTCACTTGAACGCAGATTTCCTCCGTACCAGCACCGCATCGGGATCGGAAGAGCTAGGATCAGAAGCTACCTGTATAACCCTGAGTCAAACGCGTACTCTTATTATTCCATAAATCACATCCAGTTACTCGTGTACGTTAATCGCACGTATCCCCGGGTAAAGTCGCATAGACTTGATAACCCGAAAATTGCGATTGATCCCGCCTATCCGTCTAACTCGCCGTGAGTATTCGCGATTTGCCGGGACGTAACAAAAATTGGTGACAGCGGTGGGATACGAGTCATCACGAGTAATAAATGGATACGCGTAGCGGTAAAAGCGGGAAAAGCACGAAACTCGTCGGAGAAATGGATATAGAACAGTGCTCGGAATTAGTCTGAACATTTCAGCCGATTTCCGTGGTATACGCCTCCTTTCCTCTCCTTACCGCGCGCGCCGCAGCCGCTAGGGCCAGCGCCGCCGAGCGTTAGGAGCGGCACTATCTGATTAGGTTCTATGAGTAGGTTCTTCTCCCTATTTATTAAAATTTAAAAAATTATTAAATTATTAAAATAAATTTTTTTTTAAATTTATTAAGTGGAAATATTTCAATAGATTTCTACGTCATCCATAAGGTACTAATACTGACACGTTTTTCAAAAAATGGTTTCTATCTACATTATTGCATCAATTGTTCATTCTCATGAAAGGCCAAGAAAATCTAATTAAGAAAATCTCTTTTATATTATTTTTTTTAAATTAAGAATTTATTTTTATCTTTAGTGGAATAGGTCTACGGGGGAAACCACTTAAAAAA